GGAATGGTTGAAATGACGCTTAGAAACAGTGTAAGATGTATGAAAATTGTCGTAGCTCGATTTTGAATATAGAGGATCTGATTATTTGTCTGTATCTACAAGCATTTAGCGCTCTTAATTCATAAGAATTTCTGTCGGAAATAGAGCATGAAACTCTTGTTTGTCGTCAAATAATTATTTGATTCTAGATGGTGATTGTGTTGTTGTTAACCTTGATTCAGTGTACTGAAGCAATCGGTAAATGGAAAATAAATCTACATTATTCAACCTCAGGTCTTTTTAGCTATTTCCTATTATAAGAGCTCGTACTGATATTATAATTGAAAAGAAATATAGCAATGTAAATTTTTGGATTGATGAGTGGTTGTCAGAGTAAGATTTATTTTTTTAAAATTCTGTAACAAAATGTGGAATTCAAATTATTTTGTCATTATAGCAAAGAAAAATACTTTTGCTCACTAGATCAATTAATTTTGCAGGGACTACTGATTTTACTTCGCTTGGCAATATAATCGTAGAGAGAACTTTTGACAATAATTACACTGCTCATTTTCAAGCAACGATAAATCCAAGTAAATGGCGGCAAGATCTCATTGAAGCTGCAGAAAATGGATGGATTTATCGTGTTAGAGCTGACAAGAATAATGAATATGTACAGAGTTTCAATGAACCGGTACGATCGTTCATAGTTTCAGAATTATAAATGAAGTTGTTCAGAAGTGCTGCGTAAAACAAGCATAAATGTAAAACAAAATAGCATACAGTAGTTAAGGAATTCCATTTTTTGATTAAGAATATTCCTGGATTTTGATAAGAAACAAGCTTAATAAAGAAAAATTGATAGATATTAACTGAATTAGCATTGGTTGTGTTTCGTCATCTATTTAGTAAATTGAAGTACATTTTAAAAATGACTATTATTTTCACTCTACGAGACGTCCTCGATGTTTACCGTTACTTCATGGATATTAAATCACATTTAAGTGCTTGATGTTAAAAGTCAATGGAGCTCATCATTTCCGATTATTGTTGGACTCTGCTCGTCAAGAATTGCAGTCTTTGACAGTATTTCCTGAGAATTTATTTTCTGTTGGACCAAATTATCATATCTGTGAGACTGAATCGTTTGAAGATATAAACAAGATTCGAGGATCAGTTGCAGTAGATACGATTAAAGAATTACCTTTGTAAGTCCTTTATAATACATTTTATTCTGAGGCAGATTTTTAAAAATTTTTTAGGATAGCATTTAATTTCAGAGTTTCTTGTATAATTACTTAAATACAATTATAATGAATGTAATCGCTAATTTATTGAAGTTAAAAACTCTGAAATATAAATTTAAAGAGAAAGATATTGAAGAAGACATTACTTCAGTAATTGGGGATGTGAACTGTAATATGAAATGTAAACTATGAACAAGCTTTAAGGCCGGACACTATTTCATATATTCAAAAAATGGAAAAGGAACGACAATCAAGGCAACATGGCGCTCAGCAAGACAAACGGTCGTTTATTCAAAAATATGTACGTTTGATTTGTTCCTTTTTTTCTTATAAGATTATTTGTGAAGCTTTGTGTAGAAAATTAGATGCAGTATTTGAATAGCATATATGCGATCAAATACTGGGCAGATAATTATATTGAAGCAGAAAATCAAATTTTTAGTGGATGTACATTGTAGCAGCAATAGTTTTCATGGTTATTTCAAATGCAGCGGCAGGTGAACAAAGTGGAGAGTGATATCGTCTCCAAAGTTGTTTTGGCATATAGCAGGAATATAGTATGTTCTTTGGTGTTTCTTATTTCTTTGGATATATGACCTCACGGACAAAGATTAAGTGACTTTCTTGTCAGGAAACCCATTTTTTCTTACCTTTATGGCTTCGCTAACTTTTTGTATGTCTGAACTTTGTCGTTACTTGTTTAACATCATGTTTTCTTATTATTTGCTAGTAATAAAATTAAAACAGAAGGTGGGAATGTGTTAATAAGTGATGTTTGTGTTAATGTATATTACCAATGTATATTTACATGAAACTGTTTGGTAGCAATACAATTTGCTTGAAGTTAAAATGCAGCAGTAGTTTTCCATGTATCGTTTTCATTTAAAATTTCATTAAAATATGCATCAAGTGATATAATTTTCTGAAGATCTGTGCAGCGATACATTGCTCATTACTTCGTTCCATTTTTTCATATTTACGACTGAAACAGTTTTAAATCAATTGAAAAGTTGTAAGTGCATTTGAGATAAAAGATCAGTAGCATGTCATCTGTTTTGTAAAGGTTACGTATATTTAGTTCCAAATTAATAGATCAATTGGTTTACTGCATTAGTACTGAAGTGAGATCAACGCATCTATTACAAACTGTGTAATAAGATGTAACGATTTCACAATGGGCCGTATAATACGCCAGTAAATATTACGAGATTATGTATTGCTTAGTTGGTAAGTAATTTCGATGCATAAGTAAAGAGTAAACAAGTTAAATCTGTTATTTGGTTTGAATTGAGTAGTATAAAAGACATTAAAAATAGAAAGAGTGATCGGTGTAAAGAGCAAAGTTACTTTATTGTGTTCGTGTGAGATGTAATTAGTGCAAAATGGTCTGTAAAACTAGTAGTGATGTTCTGCCAATCTATTAAAAGTGAGCACATAAAAAATATTCACGAATGCTTAAATACTGAGGGAGTTTCATTTCGGCATGATTTCAGACTATTTGTCGCTATCACAAAAAAGTGATTCTTAATCAGTTTATTACGTGGGACGTTCTTTAAGTTCTCAGGAAGCATTCTTTGCAAATTTATTCTGGTAAGAATAAGATGAGCAGTTGTCAGAGTAGTTCAACAGCTCTGACTAGCTCGTCAACTCTTACTATAGAGAATCCCAAGGAACAACTTAAAAGTTCTGGTGCCTCTCCTCAAAAGGTTTCATTTTCTACTTGAACATATCTCATTATTACTCTGGCAACTATTTATTCTTTAGACGTGATCTGATAAATTCTGTATGCGTGTAGTTGCGTGTTGCATTGTCCGTTGTTTCTTGTAATAAATTAATGCTCTGCATTAAGTATTCATAGAAAATAAGTCAGTCATTACTACATTTTTAATGTTGATAACTTCTGATGGAATCATCCTTCTTGTGATTTAATTAATAGATTTCTTTATCGTTTTCTTTTATCTTTCCTCTTAGTCCGATAAAACTTGCTATAAGTTGGATGCTTCATTTTTTGTCGAGTATGAAGTGTTTAGTGTACAAAATCATATCCATAAATTCACATTATTTCAGGTTTCAGAAGTTTTTTTGGTGGCCGGACAAGCCTTTCAAAAACTAGGCGGACTTATTGCAAGTTTGCAAAATCCAAATATTGGACGTGAAAGGTTTTTCTAACATTTAAAATGTGATAAGTATGTAGGGTCCATTATGTATTGCAAATCTGATTATTTTGCTTTCTGTTAATCCACATTTTCCCCGAGCAATATTAGTATAAAAATAATAAAAGGGATTCATTTTTTTAGATTACGATTTATTTGTCTTTCTTTTTCAAGTATATGCGCATTATTTGATAAATTATTGATTAGTGTTCTTCAATATTCTATAAAACATTGTAGAAATGCGTGATATATTGTAATGTTCATCGATTTAAGATGATGCTTTAGCACATTAATTCTTAGGAAGTGGACAAATTCAGATACAAATGATTTGCACGATGCAGTAGCACGTTTTGCAGATGATTTGCAGCGCATCAGTGAAACAGTTCACGAACGAGAAGTGTAAGTTATTGTTTACAAGAGAAATCAAATTTGCAGCAAATAAACTTCAAATAATGTATTAGGAGAGATGCTTACTGAAACCAATGGTCGTTAGTTCAGCGATAAAAATACCAAATTTAAAAGTATTTGGTTTTGGATTTCGAATTTTATATGTTGAAGTTTATGAAATTTATCCAAAAAATATATGGTATAGTATCATAGTATTGGATCAGATGGCCATAAAGGCCTGTTAGCTCGCGCAAATTTCATCTTATCCAAGTTTTTATTTAAAGATAATGAAGTAACATTTTATTCTGTAGGCAGCTGATAAAAGAGGATATAATTAAGAGGCCCGCTACAAGTCATTATGTAAAATCTGCCACCTTGTCACGAACAAATGGGAGTAGTATAAGACCTACTGCTGTTACAAGACCTTTATTAAAACGTACTAGCAGTATTTCTCATGCATCAGCAGATTCAAGTTTCAAGCGTCGTATTGTCACAACATACTCAGGATCCACTGCAGTATCCAACAGTTCTTGTTATGCAACTATTCCTCAAATGCAACCGTCCAGTATAAATTCATTGGCTATGGCCCGAGGACAAAGTGTACCCTTTAATGTATTTTCAAGCAATCTTGCTACTGTTACTGTCCATTCGACACCTCGTACAGTTTTTCTACCATCAGAATCCGCCGTTCAAGATGAGACAAATAATCTTGATAATAGAATTTTGAGGTTGTGAAGATTTGTTTGCAGTATTTGTGGTCTCATAAACGCTTCATGAGTAAAATATGTTTAAATCATAGCAGTTATTTATGAGCAGTGAAAAAGCTGTGGTATACTATGATTCTAAGCATAACTTTTATAAAAGGGCTTTGTAATGTATATTTTTTTATTTTATAAGTAACTTGCGTCACATTGTGTTTTGGTCAAGCTTGACATTTTAGATATATTATTTTGGGTTAATCTGTAATACGGTGCATTTATCGTTTGAATATTGAGATACAAAATCTTTAGGATGTTCTTTGTCATATTATGTGTAAATAATGATAAAAGCTTAGCAGTTTCAAATCATTCGTTTCTTTTTTAAACATGATGTGGTTATGCTTCATGAGTTACTTGTTTATTGTTTTGTTTATTGAGTAATTTGTCAGTGAGAGATGTTCAGATTATCTTGAGAATTCTGTTCTTTCAGTGTTTTTTCTCGAAAAATGTTTTTATATAGTTGAGAATGTTCACAACCGTTTTCTCTTGTACATTGTGTTGTGCGAAATTCACAATTTCAAAAGTTATCTAGTTATACAATTACTAAATTTTGCCTATTACGGTGTAGGAGGTACACCGTAATAGACAAAATTACAATTAAGTAACGTAAGTGTTTATCTTCTGTTTCTCGATTTTTATCTATGAAAGGTTGTAGTCATTTTAAGTCAGTTGATTGAGACTTGGTATAAAATAAAGGACGAACTGATGTTTCACTTACTCAAGTTATTAGGTGTAAACCTGGAAATAAAATTTTTTTATATTTATATGTACTTTGTAATGTCACGTCTTAGGCGAAATGCATGAGTGTCATTTTTTTGAACCTGAAATTACGTTGCAAAAGGCGTCGAAGTTTTCAAGCGCAAAAGAACTGGTAACTGGTTCGTGGGGTAGTATAAATGTCTAAACTTATTAGAAATAATATTTAAGTAGATAGGGTTAGAAGAATGCTCATTGCTATTATCATTGGCAGTTCCGTAATGCGTCTGATGAAGGTTCTGCATTGTACTGCTTCATTAACGCATTTTGGGAACTGATGCCAGAAATTTTATATGGAAGTGCCAGAATACTGAGAGATTGGTAAGCAGGGAATTTAGATAATGCGTTAAATAATTTGTGTCTGACTTTGTAAGATTTAGATTCGTAATGTTCGTGCCCAGTCTTGCTTCTAAATTTGTTGTTGGAAATTCTAAGTTTAAAGATGTAGATTCTCCAGGAGTCCAGTATAAACAAATTTGTAGTGAACGGGGATGTGATTTTTCAGTCATACCCTAGCGAACATCTCAAGTATTTGAATTTAAGTAAGTCGTCTCACTTGCTTATGTTTTCAGATCATATTTATTTTCGCAACCCATGTTCCTTTCGAAGACTCTCGTAAATGGAGCCTTTAGAGTTTATACCAGTGCTCGTCGATCGTTCCATCTGGGCCATGAATACACTCCGCCAGCTCGCTTTATGAATCATCATGTTGGTTACATATCTCAGTAACTATCACAGGCTATTATTCATTTAGAAAATATTCTTTATCGCATTCTTTGGACGCATTTAATTACATTGCAGAGCATGGTAATTATTTCATTTTGTCTACCACATTTATTTTGCAGGTGAAATTTACACTGGCACTCTTTATGACAGCGATTCAAATGTCAACTCTTCTGTTATTATATCTCAATGCTGATAAAATTCGACCTCCACCACCTAGAAAACTTAGCGAAGAGGTTGGCCTTAAAAGAAGAACACAGAAAGATTACTCTCCTGTATATTAATCTGTCAAAAACTTTAGGATGCAGAAGCGTAGTTTGTAAAATTAATAATTTATTTAAAATCAAACAAATAGTTTTCCTGCTGTCGTTGCCAAACATTTTTATAATTAATAGATAAATAGAACGAGACATCTCTTTATTTTAGGCAGAAGCTGAAGTGAAACGGCGAGCAGAACTATTCAAAGATGGCACGATGTCACTTAAGAAGTTTTAATTAGAAAGTTTTTCCTTTGCTCAAGAATCATTTTACTTTTTCTATAGAATCTGAGTAGTAATTTCTATTTTTTTTGGTAAAAATTTACTTTTCTCTGTCGAATGGTTATATTTATATGAGAAAATAAAATTGGATGTAAAGTTTTAAACATAAAATTAGGTGAAAGGTTTCTAGAGAGACTGAGTACCAAAATTGGGCTTTTCTCTATGCATAACGTAGGAAGAGAATACGTCTAGGTTTTAAAATATATTGATAATCATACAGTATTTGTTCTGTTTTGAAAACTGCGAAACATACATTCAACGAATCAAATAATATTTATGCTTTGAACAATGCTTAGCATACGCAACAACGAGAAATTAATTTTGATGAGTGAATAGGTTTGATACAATGAACTTAATCGAGAATATTATAAGCTGACGTCATAAACATTGAATGCATTATTCTACTGCAAAGAAATATTTTGCGTAACTACAACTTTGGTGCTAAAGTATCAAGTATGCGAATACTATTAATTCGAAAGCCACGTTTCTAGTGCGAATACATTTCAAGAATCCAACGTAGTTCGAGGTCTTTTCTTAACTTGCGTATTTTATTTCTTTCGTTTAATTTAATTAGCGTTATGAATACGGTATTCTTAGCTATCCAGGTTTCACGAGTAAAATTCACCCTGAAATTTTAAGGTTAAAATCATCTTTCAAACTTGATATCTATTCTAGTATGATTTTTTTCTTTTTGGAAGAATCTAATTTTTGTTATGAACCAAGATCATGTTTGATCTGTTGATTTAATTAATTTGGTTTTTACCACAGTAAATTACTTCTAGATAAATCTTGAAACGATAAATTAATATCTTAGGATTTCTTGAATTGTTGTGAAGCGGGATGAAAATGAAAATTTTGAAGCTTATTTAACTTTGATGCGCTCCAAACTTACCTCCGAGCATATGCATCGGGTTTCGGTAGATCATAATTGATAATAACCATAGGCATATTCAAATCTATCAAGCCTCTGACATATCCTGTAGCAATCATAATATTCACATGGCAAGATTGGAATGTATCTATTGCGTTTTGTAATTCATCTGGTGATAAACTTCCAGTCTAGAATGAATTACTATTAGTCAAATTATGGATGATTGATTAATAATAGAGGATAAGAACGAATAATTCATCACACAAATACTGATTATAGGACTCAATTTTGCATCCATTGAAAAACGTCTTAACGAAACTCAGAAATCAGTCAAGCATTACCGAAATATGAGAAAAATTACTGAAACAAGTTTACATTATTTGTCTTCTTGACTACAATACTAAATAACTGATCAAACCAGAGTAATCACTGGCATATTTCGACTTCTTAGTATTTGCGCGTTTAAAAATGCAGTGCCCTCCATTTTGCAGCAAATTAGTATTGGTACGGAAGTGGTCATTTGACACAAATTACATAATACATCTACTTTTCGGGCCTATAAATTTTTATTTTTGGACAATTCAACTTAATTAATTTGTCTAATTTGACATATTCACTCATAATCTATTATGTAGTACAGATTTGTTTATTCAATTTCCTTTTGCAAATAGCAAAAATAATCATAATTATATGTATCAAAGAACCTCATCAGTCACTTGCAATGCGAAATGATTTGCTGCAATAAGATTTGCATTAATACTATAACAGGCGACATTTCCTGTGAAGTCTCGTATTTGGTTTACTATCGGTAAGCTTGGTGGCAAGTGCAAAGTTATCTGTAGTAATATGAAATTTCAATAAAAATAAGTCACGAGTTCATCATCTCAAGAGTTAGCACTCCGAGGGTATAATCTGCCATTGAACTCAAGACGGATAAAGTTAAGAGCAAAACGAAAAAGAACACTTTCAGAATAATTGTTTATGTAAGTACCTTATTCTGAATTTATTAAGACATTCTGTTATCTCCAGAAATAAATCAGTAGTGAGGAATTCCGAAAATATAGATTCTAATCAATCATAGCGCTTACATGAATATGTTTTTGAATAAAACCTAATACTCGTTCCAACGATCGTTTCAGAGGGAAATTAACCATTGCAATTGAATCGAGGATGTATAATTCTTTGATGAATAGTGGTTCTAACAAAAATAATTCATAAAACATCTCAAATTAAACTGCAAATCTAATTCTCAAGTTGAACAATCTTAATTTCAATTTTTTAAATAAAAGTTTGATGATTACAGTTAGCGGTAAATGATAATATAATTCCAGAGCTGTTTTACAGATTATATGTCAAGAAAAAGACACTATTGTCTCTCTAAAGAAAACAAATGGATGTCACTCTAGGAAGGCAGTTACATTCTTATTAATATATTTGCTTATTAACAACAAAGCGTTTTTAAATTTGCTATTTTAATGTTTGCTTGCAAAAAAATATATTTTAGTACATTCTTGCAGTTAGCAACACGATCTACCTTGTACGAAAAGTTTGCAGATTCAAAAAGTATTTTTAAATTAGTCAAAATATTATGCCTACTTAATCCATTCCTGTAGAATAAAACATCAACTCTTCCTAACGTGCCTGCGACAATGTGATAATTTCCTTCATTCATCTCATCAATCTGTACTTCGAATCTACGGTCGTTAATGCATGGCAAGCACACTAGCTTTCCTGCATCTGAGTTAAGCTGTTCTGTTACCTTGAAAATGCAGTATCATGTGATTTTAATGAATATTTACGTCAAAATGAAGAACAGTTCATGAGAAGTAGGATATGCATACTTTTTGAGCAAGTCCACGTGTAAGAACAATGACCACGACTTGAACTTCGTGCAAATTTTTGTCAATACTTTTAAGTGCTTCTGTACGCAAGTGATGCTCCATTTTTCACTTGATATAGATCTGTTAATTTCCCATTACAAAAATTTTTTATTTACACTACTGTGACAAATTTAATAAACTTTACAAATACTACAGTGTTAACTTGAAACTTGAAAACTATAAGCTGTATGTAGCTTGTCATAACTTATTATATATAACCTAACGAGTTAAAGGTACGGCTCTCAATTCTTTGAAAACTAAATTACCTTACTTACTTCATGAACAACTACAATGATAAAAGTTATTTGATGAATTACAAAAAAATCATAGAACCTACCGATGTCGGGGTGATTTAATAGTACTGATCATTGTAATCATATTCATGAAATATTATTGAAACTTCGCGCTCTCCTTCGGTAGATATGTTAATATATCAGTGTACTTTCTATTACTATTTGAAACATTGCATCTCTTTTCCTTGCTCTATAATTAACTCCCAATATTGAAAAAAAGAAAAACTTGCTTTATTACACTCCAGAAAACCTAGACAACATCAGATGTAAGGAATAGGCACTCCAAAGGACTCCAAGTTTGCAGGAGATAATTTATTAAACAAAATTATAAGATTACTTCTTTACAAAAATTCAACGCCTTTCATGTATAACCAAACTTGAAAGTCTTCAACTTTTTTATTCAGATCAAAAACTTTTCCTTATCTAAAAATAACATAAACAAACGCAAAAAGACGATATTTAATCTTTTTTTCTACTTATCTGCAAGTGCGTGTGATAGAACACAACAGATCAAACAAAAATATTTTTCAAATATTTAAACAATTTAAAATACTACTTCCGCCATGTCAAATTGCTATTTTTAGCATACAATAATATTAAAAAAAATACTCCCAAAAAAGAACATAAAAATCATTTACATAATAAAAAAACAACACTACGGGCATTCTGGCAGTTTACATGAATTAATATTCGCATATATAATTTAACTTCGAAAAAATCAAAATTCAAATAACGGCAAACTTTAATAAACTTGTTTCTTCCCTCCATGGAAAATGTAAAATGAAGCAAGTTCGATTTGTTTGAAAATGCAATACAAGTTTAATAATGTTGGCAAAATATACGAACACATAAATCAGTGAAAATTGGACAAAACAATAAGTATGTCTTGATCTCCACAACGTTAACAGATATAAATGAAAGTAGTACTCTACTCCCCTCACACTTATTCCGAAAGGCCTCTTCTAATACTTATTCAATTAATAAAACAGCTTAATAAAGAATTTTATTAATTACATACATTTAATATTATTTATACGATTTTTAAATAAGAACAAAATAAAATAAAAAACTAGAAAACGTGGTAACACTAACAAATGAAAGAACTGTACTAAACTTCTGTTTTTTTTGTTTCGCTTCGAATTTTTCGAAAATGTACAGAAAATTAACCATCTATATTGTTCTGTACATTGCATATGGAAACGAATTTTAAGCAAGTAGTATTAAGTTGGTGAAAAAAAAGGAAACAAGAATTTTCTTTTTCATATGACTGAAAATGCCAATTTTACAAAATGCAGGACAAAGTTTCACTCAAAATTCAGGAAGGTCTCTTTATCAGTTAAAGCATGAGTTTTCACAGCATCAGCTGTCACTGAACGACCCAAAAAAATTCGTTTTTGTTTTACGATGCATGCCATATTAATGCATTTGCTATAATCAATGCTGATTGATCGTAAAGCTGTAATGCATAAAAATTTTTTAAATTGGTAACAAAACAATGAACTGTCAAACTGAGATGTCGTTAAAAATGAATACACATTATTACACTAAACAAACTTTGACTTACATAGACAATGACGGCAAATATTATTGAGCTTTGCAAGCAGACGTTTTTCTTGATAATAATTAGTTAGTGCAAGTACAAGAGCTTTTGGATCAGTAATGCATTTTGTACACCAAAGCCGAGTACCTAATGCCCTACATCTGAAAATTGTTATTATTAGGAATGCAGCACACTGAATTTGTTGCAGAGAGTAAAATAATTACAGAAGTATATTAGTTGAGAAGTTTTGAAGTAGAAAATAAAATTCACTGTATTGCGTGTGTTAGCTCAACACAGGTAATACATAGAAAATTTTTATAAAAAATGAAGTGAACAGCAAATGAATATAAAAGCATAATAAAATGAACTTATAACATCCAACTATTGTCGGACAACGCCATTCAATTTTTAGAAACACGTAGTCAAGAGCTCGTTGCAGTGAAGGCAGCACTTGACGATTCACATAATATTCGAAATTAAGTGTCATACGACGATCAGATATGAATTCTTGTGGTTCTCGAACGCATGATATCAATGTGCTATTTGGTTCGCCAGAAACAATCACAAATGGCACTCGTTCACCAACTTCTGGTTCATAGCGCAAAGATATAGCCTTTCGTTTTCTGAGAAAAAGAAAGCCAGTAGATTTTAAAGAAATTAACTATAATACTTTTAACTGTAGCAGCAAAAAAAGAGAAAAGTCAATTGTACTCTGCTATCAGCTTTGACGCCACAACTGCAGACTGCGCATATGATTTACGATATTCACGACTAAAAATAAACTCTGAGAGTGCGAGCTGTGAGAGATTTGATAGCTGAATATCTAAATAACGCATCATCTGATTCACGTTGTTAGAAAAAAGCAGACGTAAAACTTTCTCTAGGATCTGAAAAAATATGATAAAATTAGAGTCTTGAAAAAATCGACACTGTTACACAGTAACATTAAACTTCCCCAAAACTACTGTTAAATTTTTAAAAAAAAAAACAAATAAATTGCGATGATATTGAATGTACACGCGACATTAGGATTTATTTGATGAACAAATGAAAGTTGGAACTGTTACAGTCCTAACGTCGTGCTAGTCAACAATGAGCAAAAAAAAAATTCATTGCATTTTTGAACATTCCTCTTATAATAAAATACGTTATACATATTGCAATTATAAAAATCTTTAGTAGTTCTAGTGAGCAACAACAATCTATGTCAAGCACAGAGTAAATAAACTTGACTAAAAACTGTACGACAACGATAACTGAATTATCGACCTAAGCTTTGAAGAAAAATATTGGACTAACTCTTGAAACAAGAGGACACGAGTCTCTTCGGACTGTTTCAATTCCTTTAGAATCGAAAACACCCTCGGAATCAGTTGCGCTTTCATAACTCATTCCCACATATCGTTTTTTTGATTCCAAAATAAGTGGATGCATAACTTTCTCCATTTTTAATTTCACTGGTTTAGGATTTGCATTAGTGACATCATCAGCAATCCTTCTTCCAATATCAAATGCTTCAATGCGAGTTGCTTCTGAAAAACAGTCATACTTATAAAAATTATCACCAATCTCCTTTAAGGGTTTTCATACCTCACTATTATTTTGAAACATTACATTTGCATGCTCATAAAGTACCTAGACCCTATTTTAATTCAAAAAAAATAACAGAGAAAAATAAACCAGGGCAAACGACGAACATACTATCAGTATCACCATATACAACTCGTGAATTCCCATAATTCCCAGAATTCACTAGATGGATAGCTCGCTCTAAAGTTTCTCTTCCCTAGAACGGACAAAATGAACATCAAAAAATCAAGAAAATTTTGTTTTTTGGAAATACTGATTGATAAAAATTCACACTTTTTTACCTTACTAACGATAGCATCAGCCACCTCTACACAAGGCATCCGACCACTGAAATTTGCTGCAGAATATCCATAAGTCACATTAGCTACCATTTTCAACGCTATTTGTCGTGCGTCCAATGTACGAGCTAACAACTATAAAAAATGAACTAATTTCACAAAAGATTTTGCTTAACTATTTTCAACATTTTCAGCACTATACAAAAAGAATTTTGTAATTTACCACAAAACCTATCAATATACATCTATTTTGAAAGCAATATCACAAGAAGAATATTTATTCAATTTTTTGAGCTCCCATAAGAACATTTTATGTTCTTATGGGAGCTCAAAAAACTTCATCTCAAAAAACTCAGAAAACTTCATCAAAAACTTTATCTTAATATGCAAAGAATTAAACATACTCTATTATCTTTATATTTCTTGACTGCTTTTTTCACCATTACTCTTGTATCCAATATTTCTTCAAGCATCAGAGGCATCAAACCTTAAATCAACCTTGAATCACTCAAAAAGTTTCATGAAAAAATATATTTGTACTAAAATGAAGTATTCAAAAAAAATCAGAAAAATCGAAACATACCTTTCCGAACAGATTTCTTGCAAAAAATGACTCCTGTTGGCGATATATGCAGTTCGCGCTTTTTGTGCATTGAAATAATATCGTCCAACTGAATAAAATTTTTGAAAATGTCAACGTGATAAAGCTTAAAAAGACTAACTTTAAGTTTTATATTCATTAACCAATACTTTCACGACAGGTGTCTTTACAAATAATAAAACTGCGATAAATAAACTGAAAAAATCAACATTTTTCAAAACTCAAAAACAGAAAAATCTAAAATTACAAAAACGGATACTTTTGGCTGATAGCAATTTTTTTTAAACAATATATCATACAAGCAAAAAAAGAAAAATAACAAAATAAGAGTAAAAGAAACCGGACAGTTATATTCCAAGCCACCGAATTCAATCACTTTATTAATAAGATCAATATTTGTAACATGCAGTAACTTTCCAAGGCATGTTGAGAAACAGTAGTTATAAGCAATAATAATTGATGGGTAAAGTGATTGAAAATCCAGTACAATGACTGGATCATTGTAGTAACCTGATTCTGGTTCCATAGTAAGTGGTAAGGTTTCAGGTGAGCACATCCTGAAAAATTGCTATTAAGACAATAGAAAACGAAGTTGAAATAACTTGATTTCTAAATGCTTTAGCCAATCGATTATCAAAAATAGAACTTTTCAAATTTATAGATCGTGACATAGACTAATTTATGCCAGAATTTTTGCATAAATTAGTCTATATCACGATCTTTCTCAGTAAAAAAGTACATTTGCAATGTCAATTAGTAATAACTCACATTTCCCTTTGCAAAGTTGAGATACTTGGAGCAACGTAATTCTGTTGATGTGCAAGTCGTAAAAGCATTGATTCAACACGAAATTGAGAACCACGTGTAAATACGTCATTAAACTGAATTACACAAATTCTTCAATGTCATAGATAAACAAATATATATTTGATATAATCCATTAAAAATATACCTGTATCCCATAGAGACGCGCCATTTCAGATGTTTTGGTAAAGAAATCCAGACGCAAAAGTACAATCATATTAAGCTGACAACTAAGCTGTAAGTGATGCAAAACCAAGCAACTGAAAATATTTAAGACCCGTATATCAGGAGTTGCGATTTAACAGTTACTTTTTAATAACTGATAATTTTACACTAACAACTACTTTATGACGTTACAATCGAATATTGAATTACTCTAGACTATGGTCTACAGTGATTTCAATATTCATAAATAACGCATTGCTAAAGTTCAATATCTACCTGACCATGAACTAGAAAAATTGTTCAACAACCAATAAGAATTTTTCTACATGAATTAAGTATCGACAACATGGTATCCCCATTTTTTAAAAAAAAATAAAACTGGTAAAAGAACTCAAGAAAATGCACATTAAATCCTTTCTATTCGACAAAATCCATTCCGTTAGAGTTGGAAAACTGTACTGTGGAAATCGTCGATTCAAAAGTTTATTCACCACATTCGAGAGTGTGTAATTTCTGAGAACAGACCATGCGGAAGAAAATCCATTTTTTATAATATTATAACGAGAATTTTTTTCGAAAATTCAAACATCAAAAATTGGATTACACGAGAGGAAACTTATGTTTGTGTTTATATAATGGAATGGTACAGAAAAAGAAAAAAATTATACTTTATGGCCAGTGATAAATATTTTGAGACATTTGTCTTTGAATATTCCATAAATACTTTTGATGATCACACAAAATTAAAGAAATTGTGAATTTTTAAACCTTAGCGAAACTTCAGATCGGATAATACGCCATATATTTACAAGTATTCTACCTTTTGGAGTTGTATCTAACTCTTTTACCCATTTAATTCTACTTTGTTCTCCAGGACGATAATAATGATTGATATCTGAAATATAATTTTTTAGATGTGTAACATTTTGGACCAGTGTTGGTTATTCCTTATACTTTATATTTGTTCGCAAAACTACCGATATGATATCGCGAAATTTCTGACAGCAAATTTCGCCCCAAAACGAGTGACCTTTCAATAAGATAACCCCACGAATATCGAGTAGTATTATATCCAATGACTATATCAGGATCATACCTAAAATTTTTAAATGATTAATTTAAAAAGTCGACTGATAGAGTTTGGTTAACTTTCGGTGAAGGATTCTAGTGTTGATCCAGATGCCTCTTTTGAGGCATCTGGATCAACACTAGAATGAGAAGTATACAGCAAATAAGGAACATTACTTAGAAAAAAATGAAAATAAACCTTTGAATAATTTTGGCAAAAGAACAAAATAAATCATTTTCAGAGGTTACAAAAGTATAGGAATCATTCTCTGCAATTACAGCCTCATCCATGTTCAGCAAAACGCCATTAACGCAATCAGTTTCATTTTGGCAACAAACATCCGTAAAAACGGTGTAAAATATGCCTAAAATCTGTAAAATGGATCTAAAGTGATTTGTACCCTATGATAGACTAATATTCCAGTCATATGGGAGAAAAGACACAAAGAAATTCAAACCTCATCGCATTTAGGATCTGGTACTGGCATACCACGCGAAGTTAAGGCCAGTATTTCCATAGACATGACGCAGAGATACTGAATATCTGTTCCTGCCTTCTCCTCATTAGATCTTGGAGTTTCTGATAGTGAAATCAAAGTCTGTTCCAATCTCGCTTTCGTATGTTTATACTGGAAAAACTTTTCATAAAATGATTTTCAAAAGAGTCAAATTTTTGTCTCCAGCACTTCTCAGGAATTATGAACTGACAATGAAAGTCAGAAAAGCTTACGTCATAAAAGCTGAGTTCGACAGATGACTCAGTAAATAACTGATCGTCAGTCTCACAATTGTTTGGTTCCAACAAACTGCTTTCTGTATATTCTTCTATATAAAAAGATTTAAAAATTTTAGAAATCATTTTGTTATAATTTTCAAAATCACAAAAAGTATTTCAATGATTTTTGTAATTTCAAAATTCAAACTGATAATGAAAAATTGGCTTTCAGCACTATTTGTAGAAAAAATTTTAAACTCAATTCTGCTATGTAAAATTCGAGCAAAAAAAATAAATACCTGCACTGCAAAAATATTCATTACTAGGAACTGAAACTCTTTTTCGAAGAGGTAATCGTTTACAAGGACGTAACCACTGCTCCGTCTGAATAATCTCCGGTTCTGAACTGTAAAAACAGTCATGTAAAATGCTATTAAATAAGAAAAAAATGCAGCTTTCAAATTTAAAAAGAATCATTTGCTAAATTACGCGTGAATTTCAAACACAAGACGAAAATACAAACTTT